AGCTCAGGTTACTCTGTGTCCCCTAACATGGTTGAAGCATGTGTGTGTGTAGCAGCCCACTGTGTTATTAAGACCTGCGTCTTTTTATAGTGGCTTTTTGAAGGCTGGACTCTTCATACACCCAATCACAACTCTGCCACGCAGCCCTGCCACCCTTCCGTAAGCAGCCTCCCACCATGGGTAGCCAGCTCTGAAGTCTGGAGTTGATGAGAGGACGGTGGACGGCAGTGGCACAAAGTGGGTCCTCAGCTGCTAGAAACTGGCCAGGACTTCAGTAAAGTCAGTGAAGTTGTGCCTGTACACGGCTTGCAGGGTCTGCCGTGTCTCCCTCATGGCACAGGCACAGGGTGGCCGCTTGGGTTGTGAGTGCACAGTCTCCATGCTCACCTGCATTACGGGCAGCACCAGAGCTGGGGGAAGAGCATGACTGATTTCTTCTCAGATGAGCCCAGGCACATGAAGTGGGGTCTGCACCAGGTGCAGGACATGTGGTGCTTGACTTGGTGTAAAGTCTGCCAGGACAAAATACCCCTTGACTTCTTTCTGCTGGTATCTGGAGGTGGCAGTAAGTTTGACCTGGCTCAGGACATTGCTTTGTGGCCACACGAGTTTCATTGCCAGTATGTGTCCCGCAGCTACACCTACCACTTGGAGAATCCAGAGGGAGTTTGCCGTGACCTGCCTCACTGAAAGGCTACCCCACCTCAGCCCACTGACAACGATGCTTGTGAGATGTCTTCACAGTCAGGGGCCTGGCTCCTTTTGCTCTGCTAACATCAGCACTTGCCCACAGTTTACAGCCAGATAAACTGGGGGAACTGGACCCACAGCTGTAGGACAGGTAATGGGGGATCCTCCAGCCAGCACTGATGGATCGCTGCATAGAACCTTCATACTGGCTGTGCCAAGACTTCCCTGTGCTAGAGGGGTTACACCAGCAAGATAGATTAGGATGATCCAGCTCCATGTGTGTGGCTGGGCCTGCAAAGCACAACAGTGAGCTGATACTGTAAGGAAATTAGCAGTTACTGCCTCTCCCAGGATCAAGGGAACATAGCCAAGGTTGTGGGGAGCTGCCTGCAGGCTCTCCCTTGGCTCATGTTTGAACCTTGCTGCTCACTGGCCGTACATGGTGGGCAAATACTGTTGGAGCTGGCCAAAGCACTGTTCATCTGGTTTAGGCTTCTCAAAGGGACCTCCAAGGAATAGCAAGTCACCTTTTGATTCTGGGCAAGGGGTTTTTAGAGGGAAAGCCTTGCTAGTCAGAGACCCTGGAGCCTGATTCTGTCCTACTGGATGAAGCAGGGTTAGGGTTAGGGTTAGGAATTAGCTTTTGCAATGCTGGGGCTCCAGGCTGGATCCTGACACTCACCAGCCTGGGCCTAGGCAGTGGCAGGGCTTTGCAGTGGGCTCCCCCATTGCTCCGCCGTTTGCAGCAGGGGAGGTGATACTCCACCACACCACTGGTTGCTGGCACAGCTCTGCAGTCCCTCCGTACCTGAAATTATCCTCATGATAGTTGTATTTACATGTCTAAGATTGCAAGTACAGGGTTTTGAGGACAGACTAGGGGGAATCTGTCACTGATCAGAGGGGCAGGTGAGCAACATTGGGTTGCCTTTGCTAAAACCTTAAAGACAGAGCCCTGATAACACAGAGCAGAGACCTAATTGCAATGCTTAGGTCTCTGGTCTTACCATTGCTGCCCTCAGATTCAACAAGGAACTGGCACTTGTATGGGTGACAGTCATTCAGGGACACTTGGCATGGCTGCTGCTTTTGGACATGGTAACTAAGCAGGCAATACTTCTGTCTGAGCCCTGGCCCTGGTTTCTTAAATGGGCAGCATTTTCCATCTGGCAAGCCAGGTGGACCCTAGGAGGAAAGTGTGCTCATAGCACTGTAGCCTTCTCCAGTGGAGACCTGGTCCCGGTTTGGTCTCAGAGAGATGATTCTGCCTTTCTGGGTGCAACTCCCTGCAGAGCCCAAGCAGGGATGCTCTTTGCCCTTTGTAGGATGCAGACGGAGGAGAAGGGGTATGGAAAACCAAAAATATAAATAGCCCTGACCATCTGGCTGCTTTGGAGGGGTTTTAATCCCAGTCTGGAAAGGGCCGTCAGCAGCAAGGACAGTGATCACAGTGACAGGCAGAACCAGGTGGGCACAGGCAGCTCTTGGCTGCACTCTGGAGAAAGATGAGCTATTCTGGGCCTTGCAGCTGCAGGGCTGTGCTGAGCCCCTGCAGTGGGGTGCCAGGTCCATCCTGGGAGTGGGTGCAATGCCTGTGCCCAGCAGAGCCCCCAGGCCAGTTTCTAGCAGCTCACTCTGCTGGCCAGGCATCTGGCATTAAACAGGAGGTTTTAAGGCCAAGGCCTCAGTTCCCTGGGAGCCCAAGGCACAAGGGATGCCACAATGCAGCTGGCTTGTCCCATGGTGGCTGTGTGGTGTCTCCAGGACAGACCCAGCAAGCCCTCAGCTGGACGGGATGAGGAGAAGGAGTCAGTGCTACCTGCGGGAGGAAGGCTATGGGAGAATGGGAGGGTGAGGCAGCAGGGAGGAGAACCAGAGATACACAGTGCCCTGGGCCAGGTGCCTTCGGATGCTGGGTCGGGAAGTGGTGGCTTTGCTGACGTAGTTTGTAAGAACAGGTTCCCATAGCCCAGCTGTGGCATGTCCTGTCCTGGCAGTGTGCCATTGAAGACATGCAGGGGATCATGCTGCAGGCCAGAGAGCAGCATGTGGTGGCTCAGCATGCCACCCTGTCCTGCCCAGGGTAGCCATAGTGCTGCCTGGTGTGTGTGTGAGATCAGATGGGTTGGCAGCAGGGGCTGATCCAGAGACACGCGGGGGGCAGCCATGCATGGTGGTGATACCAAGGGAAGTGACAGTCTGCTCTAACGGAGCATCCTCTCCTGCTTGCCTTTCCAATCCCCAGGAGAAGATCGAATATGCCTTCCTGATCTTCTTTGCCATTGAAGCGATGCTCAAGATAATTGCCTACGGGTTTCTTTTCCATACGGATGCCTATCTCCGAAACGGCTGGGACGTGCTCGACTCGACTTTTCCATCGTGTCTCTCGGGTAATGCAAGGAGGCGAAGCTGCTGGTGTTCAGCTTGTGCCAGGCCTGGTCTGTAGCCCATCAGCTACATCTATTTTTTCTAGTGACTGCAGTGGGTTTGGGGGCAAGTTGTAGACTCAGTTTATGGCTTTGTCCCATGGGCTCCTTTTTCATGCCCTGACACACCCTGGGATCCTCTCCCTGTTTCTTCCTGAAGAAACTCGTTTCTTCCTCTCTGACTCCTTAACACCTCTCAGGTCGCCTTGCCCTGGAGAATGGGAGTGGCATGGGATCCTCCAGGGTTTAATGTACAGGGAGAGGGTTCACTGGGCACCAGGGCGTGAGAGGGTCCCTGGCTGGTCAGAAGAGAGGGTGGCACCCAGGGGAGGGGTGCCTAGCCACAAGTGTGCCCAGGAGTTGGACTTAGCCAAGAACTGTTCCTTGAGTCAGGCTGAGCGTGGCTGGCAGTCTTGTCGCTCGCTTTCCTGCCTGCAGAGTTCTGAATCCTTAGCACAGATTTCTTGGTCTCCATCCTCATGCCTTTCTCTTTCTCCCTCTCCTTCTGCTTCTCCCCTTTCCTCCCTGCTCTGTGCCCTGGCTCTTTCAGGCTTATCACCATGACCCTGGAGCAGGTCAATGCGAAGCAGGGAGGGACTTCAGGGGGAAAAGGCGGCTTTGACGTGAAGGCCCTGCGAGCGTTTCGTGTGCTGAGACCCCTGCGCCTGGTGTCCGGAGTGCCGAGTGGGTGCTGGGTGCCCTGCCAGCATGAAGGGCTGGCGGGTGGATTAAACCCCTGTGCCTGGCCAGGGTGGGGGGCCATGGGGCAGGTTTCTTGTTGCTGGATCAAGCCCAGCCACAAGGTGGGTGTGGAGGAGCCACAGGTTCTCGCTTATCCCTACAGCTTGCAGTTGTCAACATTGAGGATCTGCAGGTCAGCACACATTGTTCAATGTTGGCACCTTTGGGTGGCCAATGTGAAAGGGGCCAGGACCTCACTCAGAGCAGGGATCTCCTTCTCCCACAACTCATGTGCATACAGCCAGGATGAGAGTGACAGAACCAATGGAGGAGCATGAAGCAGCCTCCAGCACTGCCTTGTGCCTGGCTCTGCTGGTATCTTCTGCATGCTTGCATGGGGGGTAGAGAAAGGATTTCTTGCTTCAGAGATTTCAGTCCCAACTCACCCGTGCACCTCTTCCCTTGGCACGGGGCATTTCAGAGGCTGCTTGTCAGAAGGGCTGGCAGG